CTGACTGGAAGACAGGATTATTTTGTGAAGTACATATAAGGTGCTCCAGAAGTCAGTCATGGCTTTCCTGTTATTTGGTACAAACACTATGTCATTAGAGAGAAATAATACAAAGCGCACTTCTATCTCTGAATCAATTTATGTTTCATGCAACAAAGATTTAGAATATCCAAAACAAACAGAAAGAATGTTTAGTAGAATTACAGAGAGAGGGAATGTGTGTGTGTGTGTATGTGTGTAAGAGGATGAAAAACAAGAGAAAACATATTAAAACCCCTTTTACTTGCAAGAAATAATTTTCTGACAACTACTTAGATCAAGTGTATATATTTCCCGTTTGATTTCTCTGTCATCAGTTTTTTGAATGCAGTATAGGAGCTTATTGATTTAACCTTTCTCTCGTGATGTATGGAGTTGTTTTTGTTTTGATAAACATTTTGCATTCATGGCATGAATTTTGAAGCAAGTGTAATTTAGAGAATTTGCTGCAAAAATGCTTCCAGGAGTTAGAAATCTTGGATTCTGTATATTCTGTCTACGGAGTCAGTACTGACTATCCAATTTTAAATTGGTAGTAATAAGGAAATCTTGATTTCTCACATTCACTGTTTCTGCATTTATATGAAAAAATGGGTCAGGAAAATTCACTTATGATAACCCCCTGGAGATGAAGATCTGGTATCCCACCAGCTGCTGTGAGAGCTTCAGGGCAAAGAGCAAACAGAGCACACACAGATTGTTTACTGAGCAGAATTTTCAGTACTGAAGGTAAATGTTGGGGAAATAAACTCATAATAAAAAGAGAAACCTGCAGTTCAAGTCAGACCAGCAGTTGAGGTGGACAAGGTGAGTCACTTAGAAAACTCCCTCTGGCCCTCAGTCTGACTTTTCTAGGAAATTCACATAAAATCTTTTTGCTATTAGATTTTTTTTTAACTTTTATTTAATGAATATAAATTTCCAAAGTACGATTTATGGATTACAATGGCTTCCCCCCCATACCGTCCCTCCCACCCACAACCCTCCCCTTTCCCACTCCCTCTCCCCTTCCATTCACATTTTGAAAATCTATCTTTCCTTCCTTCCTTCCTTCCTTCCTTCCTTCCTTCCTTCCTTCCTTCCTTCCTTCCTTCTTTCCCTTCCCCCTTCCCCCTTCCCCCTTCCCCCTTCCCCCTTCCCCCTTCCCCTTCCCTTCCCTTCCTGACAGAGACAGAGAAAGTCTTATTTGATACTTCATTCACAAAATTCCTGAAACAGGCAGTATAGAGCCAGGCTGAAACTCGGAGCTAAGTACTGGACGCACACAGGTGGCAAGGGCCCAACTGCTGGAGCCATCACTACCGCCTCCCGCCAGAAGCTGGAATCAAGAGCCAAAGGCAGGAATCAATACCTGGTATTTGTGGATTGCAAACATCTGAACTGCTAAGCTGAATACCCACCCGCTTCTCCACATAAAATCTTAACAGAGGGTAATGACATACCTAGTTGTTCACATAAGGCTTTAAGTGAGTTGAGAAGTCTTTGCTTTAGGATTCCTTACATACCGTTTAAAAAGATTTAAGTCTCCATGAGAGTGAGGAGTTACTGTGTGGCAAGTGACTGAAGAATCTCACTCTGACTTTAGGAATATAATTATTTATAGGAATAAAAAGAATTCATGGGAGAGGCAGGCAGCAGGAGGAGTATAATGAAGGGCCTCAAGTGGCAGAACCCACTTTGGTTAACTCCACTTTTTGCTCACTCTGCTGTTGAATTCCTGAGGCTGAGCAGGAATGGAGACCAACACAGACTCTTATAGACTGGGCTCTGTTAATTAGCATAGCCACTATCTCTAGGTGGGCCTTAATGATGCTTGGCCATCCAGCCATGTTCCCCTACACCATTTGATTTTCCATGTACCTGTTGGACTATTTAACCATGTTTGCTTTCTCCTTGTGCCACCATGGCACTTCCCTTCCTGACACTCAGCTGATGAACTCACTTACCATTTCTCTGAGAAAATAATCGCTATCAGACAAGAACATTCATGTGTAATAAACTGATCCCATCAGTGTTGTGATCTCCCCACCTGGCCTTTTCTTTTATGTGACCTCTCCCAGGGCTAGCCTCTCCGTTCACACCCTGTCCATCCCTTCTAGGAGGACATTGCTTCAGAATTTGTCTTTTTTCTCTGTTGTGTCATCTACTCTACCTGCTCTGCTAGATCATTCTTAACCTACATATAAACATGCTATAATTTTCTCCTATTAAAAATTATTTTTAAAAGTCTTCTATTTATTTTTCACTTGATGTGAAAGACACAGACATAGAAAGAGATTTTCCATATGTTGGTTCACACCCCAAATGCCTACATCAGTTAGGGCTACAATGGGCCAAAGCTAGGAATCCAGAACTCAATCCAGGTCTCCCAACTGGGCTGCAGGAACCCAAGTGCTTGAGCCATCAATGCTGCCTCCCAGGGTGTGCATCTTCAGGAAGCTGGTTTGGAAGCAGAGGAGCTCAGATTTGAAACATGAGTTCTGATGAGTGAGATGAGAGTCCCAAGAGAAATCCTAGCTGTTCTGCCAAGTCCATGGAACAGACATACAATTCTTGAGCCCTATTCCCTCCATGCATCACCCTGTTCTGGTTTTCATTTCCTGCAAAACTTCTCAAGTGCTGTGCTATCTAAAACTACCCTTGTCAAGGTGCCCAGTGACTTGGATGAGTATCATGATGTCTAGACCATCACATGTTCCACTTGTTATCACTATGCCAGAAGTTCGTTTTTCAGAACCCTCAGTTCTTACTTATCTACGCTTCTTTTGCTCCCTGCATGCTGTTCTCTCATCTCTTTTCTTTACATACTGTTCTATATATTGATAGCTTTCATATTTTTTCTTACTGGAGCAGCCATTTGGGGCAGTGGTTAAGATGCCAGCTGGACACCTGCTTCCCATATCAACATACCTGGATTCATACCCTGGCCCCAGATCCTGATTCTGAGCCTATGAATGTGAAATTTAGGAGGCAGCAGGCATTGGCTCAAGAAGTTGGGTCTCTTCCACCTATGGGGCAGTCCTATATTGAGTCCCCTGCTTCAACCTGATCCAGTGCTGGATGTTGCACATATTGGAATGAAATAGTTGATGGGAGCTCTCAGATATATACATACACTTCTCATATATCTAATACACATCTTATACAGAATGTGATAATAATCAACATTTTCAATTCCCCTTACAACCTCCTGAGTCCTTCTTACCTCCTCAGAAATATTCCTCATCCTGGTATATAGGAAATGTATTTTTTTTCTAACTGTTCACATACATTTTTCCAGTTGTACAGGCAGAAAGCAACTTCTTCCTGTTTCTCCCCAATTGTGAAGCTCCAGTGCATCACCAAATCGCATTGACTGCAGTTCAAAATGTTGTCAGAACCCCAAACCTCCATGAGCACCGAGCGATACTAGTGCCTCTGTCCGGGACGGATGCCTTTGCTTCCCAACTAATCTTACACTTTCCCTGTGCCTCTACGTTCCAGTCTAAATGAATCAAACAGCATGGCCCTAATTAATCTAAGTAATGTCAGGTGACTTATCTGCTCAGATCTCTTTGTTTTATCACTGTATCAGAGTAGAAGTCAAAGCTCTCAAAATAGACAGCAAGACCTAAAAGGTTCGGTATATTTGTATCATTTACCATCACCAGTTGAAAATATTCTGTCTCACTAAAATGGAAAGGGTTTTGTTGTTGTTGTTGTTGTTGTTGTTGTTTTATCTGCAGTGGCTAGAACAGTGCTGAAATCAAAGTTTCTGGGTGTTTTTTTTTTTAGTTGTGTTTATTTACTTGAGAAAGAGAGACATTGATCCCCCATTAATCCTCTTACTCCCCAAATGCTCACAATGGCCAGAACTGAGCCAAGCAGAAGCCTGGAATTCAATTCAAGTCTCCCATGTGGGTGGCAGGAACCCAGCTATGTGGATCACCACCACTGCCTTGCAGAGTGCCCGTTAGGCAGGATGCTAGAGTCAAGAGCTGGAGCTGGGTGTGAACCAGTCACTCATAAGGGATGCAGGTATCCCAAGTGTCATCTTGACCTCTGCATCGAACACCGGACTTGAGAGTGAAGTTTTAAGATCCGGATCTCAGGTTTGATGTAAGGATTCTGGATTTAACTGCCTGCAGTATTACCTAATGTAACTAGACTAGCTATTGCTTTGTGGAAAATGGAGTGAATTTTATTTTATAAAATATGAATGCAATTATAGTTTGAGAGGATTATCAAAAGTTAAAAAGTTGTGCCTCAGATATAATAAACATATTGCTCAAAGCCTGTTGATAAAAAGGGAACATTCTAGCAATGTAGATAAAACTAAATCAACTTTAATGAACATCAGTAGGTGCTGTCTTCGTTCTTCAGTACTTTTGTAAAATTGGACGGGGGACAGCCTTGACAGATACCGCTCTTGTTTTCAGTGACTTGATATTCACCCATAGTCAGTTTAGATAACCCCATCACAGTAACATGTATTTGATTTAGTTTTCCTTCTTTGGGGTCAATAAAGAATATTCTTATATATACTTCTATCTGCATTGGCCTAAATGTTTCCGAAGTATTCAATTCTAGAGTTTTTGCCAAATTTGGATCTCTGTTTTGAAAAACACACACCATGGGCTTAAACTTTTTCCTGTGAATATTTGGAAGTATTTGGCATTCTTAGAGAATTTAGTATTTCACTATTATAAATAATCCTTCAGGGAACACCCTTTTTATTCATCATAAACTATGTTCCCAGATGCTGGGCACTTGAGGAAAGGAAAGACATGTTTTAGGGCCCTTTATTATTGTATAAAATTGCCTTATTAAAAAAGACTATCAACTTATCTTTCATTCAAAATTATCTAACTGTAACTTGTTTTATTTCAACACTAGATACTGATATATTCTTTATAAAAGTAAATATTTGAAAATATTAAAAGTTCTGAAATATTATCCCAAATTAATTACGATGAATACCTATACATTTTATGGTATAGTTGGTTCTGTCTATTCCATCTATTTTAAAACTTGAACTTCTCCCAAGGTGATATATTTGGGAACCATTTATGTATAAAAAATTAAGTTTTCTCATATGATTTTATCTGAAAGACGTAGTAGGTGAATAGAGAAAACAATACTCAATTAAGCCGTGTAAAATACAAAATGCAAACATCTATTTTAAGCTACTTTAATTCAACATTTGTGTTATGAGCCACACCCATTCATACAGGATTTTGTAACTGTCTGATTTCACTTAATCCTACTACTTCAGTGGAACATGATAATTCTTAGGCAAGCTTTTGTCTCATTGTAATAAAACTGACTGTCTATGATTTGAACTTACTGTGTAGGTTATGATTGTTCTGGGTGTTGTTTGTGTTTGTTTACAGCCTAGATAAATAGAATTATATTATAGAAACTATCTTCATCACTGTTGGAGGCACTGTTGAATCTGTTATTCAGTTATGTCCTTAGCTGCCCCTCTTCTTAATGGTGTTTGGAGAAGGCAAACATGACTCAGCAGAAACTGAAATGGAAAAATAATTGTTCAGTGCATATTGTGTAAGCAATATTAGAGGTGAACATTTCAGTTTGAAAATGCACTTTAGAGATTGGGCATTGAGTTCTTTCAAGCATTGTTTCCCATCTTGGGTGCAATTGAATCCTTCAGCTCCTTAGAAAGATATTGATTGATTAGTCCAAACTTGATGTGCCTTTGCAAGGTAGCAAGAACATGGGTATTGTATTTTTCAGGCAGATAGTAGAACAGAGGCAATACATCATAACTCAGCAAATGCAGAATTTTTTCACCAGTTTCAGGAAAGAGAGCTGATACTCTATTTAGAGTGATTTCAAGGACATCAGAAAAGTCCTTTGCTGGGGGGGGAAAAAACTGGCAACTCAACCAATGATGTCAAAATAGATATATGGTACAATGAAATTGAACTTGAAGTGCAGCCACCCCTCCCTAGATTTGGTTTTTCCACTTTAAAATTTAGTTGCAGGTACAACCATTGTGATGCCTATCTTGAGAAATGCTGAGGGTAATGAACTAATTAGAGTGTTAGAACCAAGTAGAAGTAAGAGCACAGCAATGACATACATTGCGTGCTTAAGAAGCAGACTGTGATCTGTCCTTTCACTGTGGCACTCTATCTGTCGGTGAGCTGCCAGAAAAATAAAATGAAACAGTGGATGATCTATTACTTATGGCCAGGAACAGTAGTGGTACAACCTTATTCTGTTATCACTTTGCATCTTTGCTTCCTGTTCTCTTAACCTTTCTCATAAGCCTTGAGTAGAGGATCATATGGAAGTACAATGGGTAGGTAGCAAAAAAATTAATGTCTGATATGGTAAGAACAGCACATGATTGTATCTGAAAGCACAGCTTTTGAAGTCATGCAGAGCAGGGTTTCATCCTGGCCATCCCTAGGTCAGTTCACAATGAGGAGAAATCACTTGCCATCAGGAGCCTTTCACTTGCCTCTTCTGTCATTGGCAACTTTGGAAAACACTTGAAAGGATATTTAAAAAGAGTAAATGAAATAAAGTCCTGTGAAAATATTTTATAATGTTCAAGATGTGGCAATGATGAGATGTAAGGTTAACAGTAGAATAAAAAAGAAACACAGGAAAGACATAAAAACATATGTCACGTTCCACATAGATTTTCAGATCTTATAATCTTAAAGTAAATACATTTGAAATAATTATCAACATAAGGCACCCAGCCAGGTCCCAGAAATCAATTGAAGTATGGACCAGCCCCTGCTTTTCATTTTCTGACATGTGAAATTAGGAAATTGGAACAGGTAATCAGCTAACACTCTCTCATTTTTGATATTTTAGAACTCTGTTACTACTACTATGCATAAAATACTTACTGCTTTATTAGATTGGGTTACTATTTCCAAAATTCCATAGACAGGTGACTTAAACAGTTCTGGAAGCTGAGAAGTTTCTTGGTAAGGGCCTTCTTCCTGGTTTGTGGATGGTAGTCACCCCGCTGTGCTCTTACGTCTTCTTTGTGAGTACTGAGAGGGGACAGAGAGGCAAGGAGGAAAAAGTTATTTTTCTTCCAATAAGCATACTAATATCATTGTCATGATTCCACTCCAAATGACATACTCTAAACTTATTTTCCCAAAGTCTCATCTCCAAATGCCATCATATTGGGAAATAAGGTATCAAGATGTGAATTTAAGTGGATACCAACATTCAGCAGGTAGACATTTTATAAGATTTTTTGTTCGCCACAAAGTCATCTCCGCTCTATAGTTATTAGGTTGTTCACTTTACAAATGAAAGCTAAAGATCAAAGAGGGGATCTAATTGTCCACAAATCCCAGCCACTAAGTGACAGGGGCAGAAAGCAGACCTACGGTTGCCTCTGTGATTTCTCATCCCAGGTTCTTTCAACTGTGTGTGCTGTGCCTTTAATCACCATTAAAAAAAGATTCACAATGCAGCATTCACATGAGCTGTTGACAGAGGTTGGTCAGTTGATGAAGGCAGAGTTGCTCTTCGGATCAGTAAAAACATATTTTTTAAAAATTCAGGCATGTAAAGGAAGGACACTGCATATTAGAAAAGATGACATTTCTGGGAGACAGTTGTTGCTCACACAATCAGCTGTCAGTTCAGGAAGAAAATATCTGATAGAAGTGTTGAGGTCACCAAAACAGGGAGCTTTTTAACGGATCTGTTCCATTTTGCATGCATCTCGTTAGTCTTAGAAGCTTCTGCTTAGATTTATTACAGCATCTCTGTCTTTAGCTTCCAGCGCTGTGGAATTTCTGTTTTGTTCTCAGGGCACATTGATCAAACCCTGCCTTTGCACCATTATTCATATACTGTATTCTAATACCCAGTATGCAATTCTAGGGAGTTAACTTGAAATTAGTCCTCTACGTAAGTACTCTCCAGTTAATTTTCTGTGTAAATGGAACATTTGTATAATTTCTGTTATTTTTTCGTGGCCTCAAAAACCAGGAATTACAAAACTCTACCTTTGCATGGTCTGGGCTGTTCAGCTTTCTTTTTCCATAGGGAATGTTGGATAGACGAAGGTCCATGCTCTGCTTCCTCAGCCAGCTATATTTTTAGAAGGATTAGAAAGGACATTTGCTACCTGCTTTTGATTTTGATTTTTGTTTGAAATAGGATCTCAAACTACCTATGCTCACTCCCCATTGCAGATTGGAAAGAAGCTTCCTGACTTTGCTTATTCCCAGACTAGGATGTGTGCACTACCACCATATCCTCTGAGCTTTTACCTGGTCGCTTGTCCTCCCTGGCATGAGTTATCAGTCATTCCATCTTCTCTCACTTACTGGCTCCCCAGAAAATTTTAGATCCTAATTAATAGAGAAGTCAAAACTATCAAATCTAATGGCTTCTCTTCATTTTCCCTTTCTGCTCTTCTTTTACGGCAATGAATATGCCAGGGAATATCAAAAAACTTGCTGCTCCTCTTCCCCATTGGACAATCCATTCCTTGAGATCATGTGTTGTTTGTGTGTCGTCAGTGTCTCATGCACAGTGCATGGCTCATGTGTGCTCATTGAGAGATTGTTGAGTTAGATTATATTGTCTTTAGTAATAGCAACAGGAGAAGAGAGAGGAAAAAGACAACACCTGGTATAATGATAGAATGACAAAAATGGGCAATGATTACATGCTGTATATAAAAGAAAAAGTCATGTGTGAAAAATGTCCACAACCAAGTGAATGACAGTGATAGCTTTGATAAGATAAAAACAATAGCTGATGTTTACTGAAGAGTTGATGTATGCCAGGCATTGTGCTCTGTATTATCTCTGTATTCTGCTCTTTATCTCTCTGAATCCTCACATAGTAACCTTTCTTGCTAACAACATTAGTAAAAATGCTAATTGATAAGACCACAATACACACTTGGCCTTATTTCTTTGTCCTCTTAAATTGATCCAAGAATTATTAAAATAAAAAATCATATGGAAGTGGTGTTTAAGAACCCATATTCTATTCCACCCCAGACTTGCCACTGAGTCAGAAATGCGAGATGTGGAGCTTGGGTTATACATGTTTAAAACTATGCTAATAACTGAGAAGGCAGATAAAACTCGAGATATATTGTATGTAATTTGATTTAATAAACCTTTATGAAGCTGCTATAATATAGAATTTTGTCTAAGCTCTAAAGATATAGAAATAGGAGTAATTCCTTCCTGCAGAAGCTGCTAAGCTAATAGGGAGGAAAAAAAGATTTAGACCACAATAATGCACTGTAGTAAATGCTTGGGAGATTTTGGGGATACCTAATTGGAGAACTAGTAACTCTGGCTAGTGGTAAGTTTGAAGGGACAGAAAACAGAGTCTGAAATAGCCACTTGTTTGTTGCAAATGTGGAGCCCTTGAGACTGGCCATGATTAAATGTGGTGCCATCCATATAGAAATGAAATTGATAGGTGGAGGGTGAGAGAATGCCAAGAACAAGATGTTAAAAACAAGATCAGAAACAAATCCTTAGAGGTCGCTTTCATCTGACATTTTCTTTTTCAAAGTGCAGTTCCCTGAAAAAGTGAACCAATCATTGCAAAACCAATTAGATTGCCCCTCTGAATGATGTGGAGCTTCGGATCACTTGAGGAGCTTTATATACCAAAGGAGATTTTTGAAAGGATTTGTCTAACTTAAGTTTCAAACTGACTCTCCGTTAAGAGGAATATCTGCTATCACTGAACAGCAAAACTTGTATTTTTAATATATCTTCAAAGTATATTCACTAACAGTTTCATTATCCCAAATTAAATGTAAATTAGACACTTTTGCATTACCAGTAATCAATTAATTTTACAGATAGGAATCCACTTCTATTTCCCCCATATCACTGCCATGTACTCATTATGCTGTTACATTCATTTCTACATGGATTTATTTTTTGTCGCATAATGCAGAAATTTGGTTTTATCTTTAAAAAACATGGAGCCTCTCACCCAAGTACTAAGCAGCCCTGACCCTTCTTGGCTTCCAAAATCAGATGATTTTGGACATCTTCAGGGTGGTATCCAAGGTGTCCATCATTAAATGAATGGATAAGGAAAATATATGTATGTGTGTGTGTTGAGGTGGATTCATTCTGAGAGGAGGAGTGTGGTGGGGGCAAGAGGTGCAGAGTCACCACACAGACCTTGGGAGTTGGGTGAAAACAGGCCAGAGGCTAGCAGCCTGCAGACTCATTTTTTTCAGTTGGTACAGCAGCTTATATAGCTGAGGCAGCCAATCTGGTCAAGGGGCGGTTTATGCCCTAACCAATCACAGCCTGTTGCCAGGCAGGCTCTGTTGTCCTGTGGTTTCTGAAGCCATCCAATCACAGCCTGTTGCCAGGCAGTTTCCATTGCCAGTGGAAATCTTGGCATTGTCTTCTCATTCCACCACATGTGTGTACATATGTGTGTACATACATACAATAGAACATTATTTAACTGAAAAAAATGAAATTCTACCATAGCAGTGAAATGAATACAACTGAAGTACATCATGTTGAGTGAAATAAGCTGCACACAGCAAGACGAATTCCACATGTCCTCCCTTACATGTGGAAGCTAAAATTAAAATACAAAAATAGATACTAAAAGCATAAACAGTAAATAAATTCCTGTGTGTATTAGTATTGCTGAAAATGTAATTGTGTAAAGCTCTGTTTTATGCCTTTATAAAGCCAATGGTTAAGAATGATAAATTACTAAAGTTTTTTAATGACCTGTGATTGTTTAAAAATGTAATGTATGTGAGTAAAATTGTTATCTTTTCATTTGATTGTTATGTATAGCTGTTGCCTATATTCCTACTGAACTATAGTCTTTTAATATTTTACTTTTTGAAATCTTTATTTAGTAGAATATTGACCCTTTGGCTATAAGGAAAAGAGAATATCATTATTGTAAATCTGTTCTTTTTAATTATGATCATATTAACATAAATAAATGAAAAATCTTTTAAAAAAAGGAAACAAAGCAATTAGGATTAGTGTGTGCATGAGGGCTAAGATGCCCTGAAATAATTTAATACTTAGTTTAGTGGAAAAATTACTCCACTGAGACTTAATAGACGTTGAATTTTTTTTAAAAATTTTCCCCAAGAAACCTTTTATTTAAGAAATGCAAATTTCATGCATTTCTTAAGTACAACTTTAGGAATATAGTGATTCTTCCCACCATTTCTGCCCTTCCACCCAGACTCCTACCCCTCCTACTCTTTCCTCTCCCATTCTCAGTCCCATTCTCCACTTAGATCCATTTTCAGTTAACTTTATTTGCAGAAGACCAACTCTATACTAAGTAAAGAGTTCAATAACTTGCATACACATGCACACACACACAAAAAAAACTGTTCCTCAACAGTTGAAGCAGGACTGTTCTAAGTCATTGCATCTCGAATTTCGCTTCTTTTTTTTTTTTTTTTTTGAGAAACTGAATTAACTTTTTTTTTTTTTAAGATTTATTTATCTATTTGAAAGAGTTACACAAAGAGCGGAGAGGTAGAGATAGAGGTGGGGGGGGGTGTCTTTCATCCGATGGTTCACTCCCCAGATGGCCGCAATGGCTGGAGCTGCGCAGATCTGAAGCCAGGAGCCAGGAGCTTCTTCCAGGTCTCCCACTTGGGTACAGGGGCCCTAGGACTTGGGCCATCTTTTACTGCTTTCCCAGGCCATAGCAGAGAGCTGGACAGGAAGTGGTGCAGCCGGGTCTCAAACTGGCGCCTATATGGGATGACGGCACTTCAGGCCAGGGCGTTAACCCACTGCGCCACAGCACCGGCCCCGAAACTTAATTAACTTCAAAGAGGCAATTAGTCATAACTATAAATTATGAGACATAAGACCTCCATTTAATACATTAAAGGAAAATGTCCTTGAGAACAAATGTTATCATTAATTAAGGGAGCACATAAGAAAACAAGCAACAGAGTTGGACACTTAGGCATAACTAAAACTTATGAGACATAAGAATATCCTCTACTTAATAGACTAAAATGAAATAAATCTTTGAG